ACAATTTGTCATCACATTAAACCTTCCTTGGTAAATTTTGTTTTGATACCATAGCAGATGTACTATTACCTCTGCTATTTGGTTTAGTGGTCTTCATTTTTATTTTGACCTTGAATATGTCCTTTTAACTTGACCTAAGTCTATTTTTCTCACCTCTTACCTCTTTATTAATTTCATATATATTCCTATGACAAGTCCGTGTGTGATCAGATTGTTCGAAATGTGTTGCGCAAATACATTACACGATTCAGACAAATTACGTCTTCTTATTGCTTTATCTAAATTTTTAGTTAAACGTTGTTAAACTCAATGATTTGGTTAATAGTTTTGCAGACCTTTCCCTTCTGTTGAGTAAAGCTTTGTAACATTTAAATGACAACAAGTGTGATCACAGATAACCTTATCGTGAATTCATCTTACATATTTTTATTCAATCAAGTTCAGCATTCACCTGTAGGCTATGTGATACAACTTTTTCACATCAATAACATCTAGATTATAGCAACATATTCATAAGTGTTCATAATTATTCTCAGTTTATTTGCAGTTTTTATGCGCAAAGAAACAGCAACAGCGTCATTTATTTTCGTATCCCATATAAATAAAATCGTAAGTTGGATAGACCAACTCTGTTCATTTGTGATAGACACATAGAGAGGGTCGCCTTTGTTCAGTACATTTCTAGGCTATTCAAATGCGATTACATTAATATGCTGCTTGAATGAATAAGAAACACATGTCTGGTATTACATGCGAACTATTAATTCTGTGATACCTATTGAAATACTTTGGTTGGACACCAGTCTAGTCCTTGGTATTGGTGCAAACTGAATTAAAACCGGTCAAGTCTGTAATATGGCTACCATGCTAGGTGGGACATGAGCTCCTTCAAGACTGCAGATACATCTTGCTGACTGATGAGTGCGAATAAGCACGAAATCTAGGTGGGGGGCTTCCTAAAGATTGCCTCCAACCATTTTAAAACCTATCGAATTATTTTTATGCATGTTGACTTAACTGTTGCTTTGCTTAGTTCAATTGATTATTATTAGACATAAGTTTGTAATCAAAACGGTCAAAAAGTCAACTTTTTCAGTGATCTGACTTACAGCACCTGCTACACAAATCTCAATCTTTTTGGCTGAAACCAACTTGGGAGTGCTGGACAGCTGTTTCGTCCCAGTTTGGGACTCCCCATCAGTATGCACCCAGCGGGGTTCTCTAACTGATGTCAGCACATGATGAAATCCTCCAACCAATCAAACAAAATCTCTACAAAACTTAGACCTGAAAATAGCAAGTATGTATCAGGTTAAAAGGAAATTTCCGCATTGTGTAAATAAGTCGCAAATCTGATAGAAAATGACGTTTTGATATCATAATGACCATAGTAACCAGAAGAATTAATTGGTTTTTTGATAAGTAGTTAAATGAAAAAAAAAAAAATTATATAAAGGATAATAGAATAGACAAGGAAAAAGAGACAACACACAATATATATATTTATTGAAATCCCCTGAATTTGGGTTTTGTTTTCTTTGTGTTATTTTAGTGGAAACAAATACCTGATGTTGAAAATATATATATATATATATGGATACATATCAATAAGCTTCCATAATTTGTTAAAAGAAAAATATTGTTTTCAAAAATAGGATGACTAAGTTAACTTTAAAAATACGGCATATGATAGAAAACATAAATAAAACTTGAGTAACGAAAGGCATTGATTTCAGTTTTAAAGAAGGTACTATTTATTGACTTGGCATCCAACTGTGTAAGCTGTCTTTATATAAATAACGAAACCTGATCCTCTCACTGAGCCGCAGAGTCTGCAACATTTGCAGTTCTAACACCATTGGAGAGAAGCTGAATACTCTAAACAGGATTCTTATTTAAAATGGCCACCCCCAAACACTTCATCACAAAATCCGTGAATTCTATAGCTCCGGGAACCACACACATCCAAAAACTCTATCGAAATCTGCAGTTCAATGGAGACTCATTGGCAGAAATACTTAAAAACGGCCACTCCGTTCACTGAAGAAAACCTTCTTTGCAGATGAACTTCGACTCATTTCCTCTACAAAACTGGTGATTCGTATAAACATGAAGAGTAAGCTATCACTGCTCTGATCCTATCAATGTTTATCTAATCATTACACCTTTTCCTATGGAACTAGATGTGTCGCCTATACTCAGCATTTGCTATCCAAGCGTATTATCGAACATTTATCTTCATGGTTTTATCAAATAAAATAAAGATTCCTCCATAGCTTTATTCTGGAATACCTGATCGACTCTGGACACTGAACAAACCAGCAGGGCGACATCAGAATGCGCATAAATCTTGCCTTCTGTATTACATGACTGTTATCTAAAGCTTACAATTTAAATGATACATCTTTGGTAACATTCCTTTTGTCGCTATGAAAAATCACCATACATACGCGATAGGCCTTAAAAAAGTAACTCTTTAATGAACGCCTTTTTATATAACTAACCGATTTATCATTCATGATAGTTTATAAATTGAGGAGGAATATACATCGTAAAGAGAATTTTTTTTCAGGATTTTCATCATGAACTGACATTGGTTAGAGAACCATTGGAAAACCTGGGAGTACTGGATAGTTGTTTCGTCCTAGTTTGGGACTCTTCATCAGTACGCACCCACCGGGATTCGAACCCAGGACCTTCCGGTTACAAGGCGAGCTCGTATACCATTAAGCCACTGGGACCCGATCCAATGGTCCTTGAATTCTAACTTCTGCCAATTCACGACATAGCGCGACCGCTAGCCAATGTCTTCGGGTCCCAGTGGCCTAATGGTATACGAGCTCGCCTTGTAACCAGGAGGTCCTGGGTTCGAAACCCGGTGGGTGCGTACTGACGAAGAGTCCTAAACTAGGACGAAACAGCTGTCCAGTACTCCCAGGTTTTCCAATGATTCTCTAACCAATTTCAGTTCATGATGAAAATCCTGAAACCAATCAAATCCCTACAAACCAACACTTGAATAGAAATTTTTTTCTTCACGTTCCCAGTGGAACATAGGGCCTCAAGCTAGTGGCTTGAAGTTTCTGTAGCAGTGGTGATTATTTTTACAGGATGGGGTTGCTAGCCTCATGCCCAACCTTTCCTCTTTACGAGTCTTATTTCTGGCTTAGCGATGTAAAGGAGTGCGTCAGTGGCCGGGGATCGAACCACAGACCATGCGCATGGTCGGCGAGCATCCTAACTGCTGTGCCACCGACACACACACAAATTATGTTACTTCCTCATTAAACTTTTCAGATCTTTCCATCTTTTCTAATCTGTCCTTTTCATTGTCTTTATTCAAAATCAGACTTGTGACTTTTTAATATACTGTTTAAACTAATAGTCTTCATTTAACCTAACGCCTTTACTATATCCAATTAAATAATATCAGTATTGTATTACGTCGGTGGTGTTCAGCTGTAGGATAATCGCCAAGTATATCTCACGCGATCTGAATTCCGATCCCCGACCGACGATCTCCTGAACCTCACTAAGCCGATAGTAAGACGAGTAAAGATTAAAGGTTGGGCGTGTGAGGCTGGCTATCCCGCCCTGCCATTGCTACTGAAACTTCACAGCTCAAGCTTTAAATCCTGTGCTCCACCCTGAATACAAAGTTACAAAATCATAATAATAATTGGAGAGATAAAAGATTTCAAAAAAAGCAGTTTTAGGACTTCAGGTAATGTTATCACCGAGAAAGGTTTCTTCTCTAAACCTTTTGTCTTATTTATAAATATTCTAGATGGTGTTTTCGGTACATATCAGATTCAATCTGGCGCGTTAGCATAAGTGGGTGATTGGACTTATTAGTTTTAATAGTTGATTTTCAGTGATTAGGTCTGAGGTTTGACTTCCATACTATCTACTTTAGGCGTCCCAGGAGTGCGAACGCTCAAATAACCTTGAACGCTTGTTAGTCGTTGGTTGAGGAGACTTACCATTATTCTAGCGTGGAAATGAACGCTGTTCATCTGCTCAGATGCAAATTTCATCCAGATCACGTATTTCAACACTGCTTAGATAATGGATTAATAGGACGTACTCGGGATATGTAGTTGTGGTGCTTCTATGAACCTGCCACCGTATACTCAAGTCATTGGTGGATATATATTTAGATGTACACAGTGTAGGAAACGAATAAATGTTCGTACTGGTAAGTGACACTCTCAGTTAATTGTTTTCTAGGAACTTTCTTTGAAAAGTCGAAACTTTCGTTGATCAGTATCCTGTTTCTGTGCCATTACTGGATTTTAAAGTCCGGGGTGAGATCAGTTGCGGCTCAGACAGAAAACATGTTAACGTCTACTGTGCAATGGTTCCAGTTTTGTCGGGATTTAGCGTCGTGGAAAATGAACAGTATTACTCAAGTGTTGGGAGGAGTCGGTGTAATCGTTCATATCGATGAAACGGTCCTTATAAAGAAGAAGTACAATCGAGGACGTGCTAGCGCGAATAAATAGAATAAGAGCTATAAACGGCTCTCAAAATCAAGTTATTTTTAGTCATCTGGATGAATACATGTATGGGAATTGGTTTAATTTAAAAACTGACACTCCCCATTATAATTGGGACATTTTTTATTTCATATTAGACAAAAAAATACCTTGTTTAATGTGTTTTTCATGCTTTTTATGTAAATATACGTAACTTTTGTGCAAAAATCTTCCACTTTTCTGATTGATCGGCTCAAGGTCACTCGTGCGTTTGCATCCCTTGGGACGCTATTGTAGAACATCTTGGCGATGGAACCTTCACACAATAAGTATGTGTATAGCTTGTTCCGGTTAACGATACCCTTACCTGGAACACTGTTCTAATTAAGTTTAGAATGACAAATTATACCTTGTTATTAAACTAAATTTTTCATAATATATGTTGATCTAGTTATATAAACCGTTCGATTTATTTTATTATTATTTTTTTCTTTGTCTTTGTACTTTTTGTTTTTCATAAAGGAATGCCATGAACTTTGTATACCGTTTCATATTACCTCTGCGAATACGTTGAACAAACCAAAAATAAAAACAGGCGTAAAGCGTAAATTAGCTGAAAGTGATAACACCCCTGAGGATGATAATGAATGTTATTCTGATGCAGTTGGAGAATCTCTGTTAAATTTAATCAAAAGTGCTAATATTGGTTGTATCGTTACAGATTTTTCACCTTTACGTGAACCTTCATCATGGACAAAACGTGTAGCTGAATTATTACCCGAAAATATTCCATTTTGTCAGGTAATACAAGCATTTTGATGGTAATAATAATAATAATTTACAACAATTCGTTCCCTTTATGAATTTAGACAGAGGAAAATAAGAAGACGGATTTTGTCTGAAGCGTGTAATGTATTTGCACACAACACATTTCGAATAATCTGATCACACACGGACTTGTCATAGGAATACATATATATGAAATGAATAAAGAGTTAAGAGGTGAGAAAATAAATTAAGGTCAAGTTAAAAATACATATTGAAGGTCAAAATAACACAATGGAGATCACTAAGTCAAATAAGAGAGGCAATAGTACACCTGTTATGGTATCAAAACAAAGTTTACCAAAAAAAGTAGGCTCAATGTGATGACGAATTGTTTTTGGACTCATAAAGGTGGTTAAAACTTTCTAATTATCAGGGCTTCTACAAACTTAAGGATACGCCCCAAATACATTCTATAGATAAGTTTAAAAACGTGTAAACATCAATTTTATGTCCTGTCTCTATAATCATGTTTTGCAGTGGAGGAGCTAGGTCTCCTCTTCTCACCAGTACTAGGTTTTGAGGATTCTATTTGCTTCTGTAGGCATTTAGGAATGTACTCTGAAGCCCTTACTTACAGAGATCAATGAGTCCTACCTATGTATGTGTGTCCACACTTACATTCAAATTGGTAAATACAGTGGGATGTGACGTCATTTTTCGCATGTTCGAAGGGCTTAGATAGATATAATGGCTTTACATTCTCTAATATTATGATATTAGCTGCATAAAAAGTCTTTTTAACAGCAGCGTTCAGCCTTTGTCTAGTTATCAAGCTGCTTTGATGTCCCATGTAGGGTAGCTTGATGTACACGTTTTTCTTAGGGGCGAGTTGGAGAGTGGGTCTTGGTGTTCTGACTGCTTATGCCTTTCTTATTTGGTTTAGTGACCTCCACTGTGTTATTTTGACCTTCAATATGTTCTTTTAACTTGACTTAAATATATTTTCTCACCTCTTTATTAATTATATATATATATATATATATATATATATATATATATATATATGTATTCCTATGACAAGTCCGTGTGTGATCAGATTGTTCGAAATGTGTTGTGCGCAAATACATTACACGATTCAGACAAATTACATCTTTTTATTTTGCTTTGTCTAAATAATAATAATAATAAATGTTACTAAAAGCTTTGGTGTTCACAAAAAGATCATGTTTACAATACTTTTATAATTTAATTGGTGGATGGTGACTAGCAGTGGAATCCAGGATGTGCATTTCGTCCTATTTGGGACTCATCAACTGGATATGCCTGCATTTCTCAGTGAGTGATGATGTTCCCACCGAGGCTCGAACCCAGTGCTGGTCACCATCCACCAATTAAATACTAATAGAATGCCCAGACATCGTCGAAGCATCTGCACAAGAAGTCAACATGTCAACCTGAAACCGAGCACTTCGGTCCAATCAATCGACCGGAAAATCTAAAATTCAATTAAACTTTTATAATTATTTGAAATAACAATTAAAATAACTTTAACCCTTATATTGATACTAACTTGATAGACAGAATCCTTCTTTTTGAATATATATGATGAATGTGGATAGTCCATGGAAATGAATGAACTTTAATTTAATATTTACCATAGCAACCAAAACTGACATGTTGTCATCTGAACTCAGGAAACCAATCTTTGCGTTCTACTTACTGTATAGCCAACTAAAGTTTCCTTGAGTTACCACCACTTCTCTAAGAATGTACTGACGATAATAAAATGACAGTTATTTGCGATTAAATCTGTGGTACTATTTAACAGTAATAACATATTGAAACTAAGAATTACCTCGACAGTCCTGTTAGACAGCTTTATATATCCAGAACATTCTCAAATGCAAAACAAGTATACTATACGACAAAATTATTAAATCGAAATCAACGCCAAGAAGTACCTGAGAATCAAGAAGAATTTTCCAAACAGTGTGAGATCAAAACTGTCAGCATGAATCTCGCACCATCCAATACACCTCAGACAGTCTGAGGTCAAAATCCCCAAGGCCAACCTTGACCTCATTCAGACAAAGTCGAAAACATAGAGCAATACCATCATACAATTGTGAAGATGAGCGTTTAAATTACGGCTTACACAAGAACAAAGACAAATAGTGAGGATTAAGTCAACAGGTGATATGTAAACATCAGAACAATTATATACATCTTGAGAGAAGTTATTATTATTATTGTTCCCTTGGGTTCCTAGTGGAACATAGGGCTTCAACTGCACGTCTCCACTTGCCACTTATGTCTTCCTTCTGCTGTGCTTTTCACCTGCATACATGTTAGTCCATACTGTTTCAACTACTCTTCACACGATCTCCTCCATGACACTCACCCTCGCACTGACGTCCCACTCGCCGCCGCTTCCCTTTCGGCCTGGTTCCACTCGAGCAATGGCCTGACGCGCGCGCGATGTCACCCAGCGGCCTCCTCAGTGAGTGTCCAATCCATCTCAATTCACTTCCTCCTGCATATTTGTTGGTTGGCGATTGGCTGTTGTTTTGTTTGTTAGTGACCATAGTTTCTTGTTGGTGATTCTTTCCGGCCCGGCCATCTGATCTTGAGTATAGAGCTAGCGAAGACAGTTGTTGATACAGTTCTGCAACAGTCTGTTGAAAATATTCTTTGTGACCCGCTCAGGCAAGTTTCTGATTCGTATAGAAGAACTGACCGACTTGACGTTTGTATTGAAGATCCGAATTTTGTTGTTGATTGAAACATTGCTAATCTTAACATGTGTAAGTGGAAGAAGTCATTTAGGCATTGATTACAACTAGTCCATTAGATTTTATGATCTTTTGGTAGAGAAGCTTTGGTTGATTGATACAAGTCAATTTTACATTATTATTTTTTTTAACAAGTTGGACAAGTTAGACTAAGATAAATCCGTTAATCCAATATCTTGGTCATAATTCCTAGATCATCATCTTATCTACAATAGTGCCGATATTTATCTTAATCAATGTTGTTATATAATTTTTCTTAAATAAGTAGTTTATTGACATTTATCTGAAATTCTTTATTTTTTCATAGTTTATTTTGTAAAGATAAGTTTATATTTTTTTATAATGTTCTAATTATTTATAAACTTGTTTGATAAATCACATGATATTACCGTCATTTTTGTTTGTAATATTGGTTTCGTTTTTTTTAATGCATCGTTACGATAATGATTACCCACAGTGAACAATAGTTGAGTAGTTTATTTTACTGAGTTATTAATTATTTACTTTCTAGCATATCAGTTTTGTACTTTGTTCTTATGCTATATGGGGTACATCCAATTTTTTTAAATTGCATGTGAATTCATCTTTACAGTTAACCTGTATTCGTATTAACAGCAGGCTGTTTAGCTAATCCACAGAACATTCAACTCATTATAGAAGTTTTGTTGTAATTCAGAAAAACACTTTTTATTTAGAATATTTTACAGTACTAATATTTTTTCGATGTGATTGTGTCCCCTGGACCGGGTGTTGTGATTACTTGGCTTTGATTGTCTTCCTAGGTAGCCTCTTTAGTGCTTACTTCATTCTATCTACTTCACATGAGAGTAAATGCTGAGTATGTTGTCTCGAAAGATAATGAAATTGACCCGACTAAACCACCCTATTCAGGGAACACAAACATGTTGAAAACATCCACATAATTCAGTGGTAAAACACCCGCCAGCTACGGATGTGGTTTGGGGTTCGATTCCCAGCTGACGCATTCCTTAGCCTCATCCAGTTTGCTGGTCTATAGTAATCCCAGAAAAGTGTGAAGGTTGAGCGTAAACCTGGCAAACCCACACCGGAGTATCCAGGCTGCAGAGTTGGTCCTTTTGGGGACTTGTCAGTTGAGTGTACCTGCATCTCAAGTGAGATCCACAGATATCAAGTCAACGGGAAATGCCAATTAACTTACAGAAGAATGATGTGTACACAAATGTTTATTTATGGCAAAAGAATGGATTCCTTTTTGTTAAACAAAATAGTTTTTCCGGCAAAGTAAAGCGAACAGATGGTAAGATTATGTGCGGTAATGCTCATTATAATAGACTGATGTTAACATGAGAGAGTGACTGAGGTTTAAATGATAGACTGGTTATCTATCTAGCTGACTGTAGGATTACGAATGTACCAGTATTTGGACAAACTTTTGTTCTAATGTATTTGTAAAAAAAACTGTCTGCCTGTCGATTCTTCATTTTTGTCAACTGAACTAACAAGCCTAACTTATGATCATGTTTCACTCAGTTTCACTTCACTATATTAGATGTCTAAGTTATCGAAATGTCGCACATATGGGTATAAAATACATCACTGGATAAATGGGTTTAGTTCTCGACTGACTCATTTATAACCTTACGTGTTTTAAATAAATCCTGGCAACATTGGTGATACCGTTGGGTGTAGAAATGAGATCATTAAAGAATGATCCACTGGTAAGGTTGTGGAACTCAATTATTCTAACTTGGATATTTACGACGTTTATTTAGCTAGATGGCGATGCCGACCATGCACATGGTCTGGGGTTCGACCACCGGCCATTGACGCACTCCTTTACCTCGCTAAGCCAGTAATGAGACTGGTAAAGAGGAAAGGTTGGGCATGAGGCTAGCAACCCCATCCTGTAAAATAAACACCGCTACAGAAACTTCAAGCCACTAGCTTGAGGCCCTATTTTCCACTGGGAACGTGAAGAAAAAAATTTTAGCTTACAATGACTCAAACGTAGTAAATAATCAATACCCCGCTTTGTACTACATACGCATCATGTGTAATAAGGATTTGTAACTCACTTGTGCCTACTTGTATATACTAAAAGAAACGTGTCCAGATTCTAGTTCATTTCTTATCCTGTTTCTTTTCTCGAATGACTGAGTATTATGTCTCGTGACGTCAGTCTATTTTTTTGTGTTGTATATATTAGTGTTCCTAAGGTTGACGTAGAACACGATTTAAATTTTCGTTAATTTATGGTTG